CCTGCAGATGGTGATGTTAACTTCCTCAAAGGTGGAGCTTATTATGAGGTGGTCTAGACCTTGTAGTTGACTGCAGCTACAGTTAACTGAGGTTTTTACCTCAATTAAGTGAGGTAAAAAGACAAGCTGCATTATAGATCGCTTCAGTTTGTTTTTATTTTAATATTTATAATAGATCACTAATGGCGCTGTCAACAGCAGGATGCTGGACAGACTGCTACAGAAGATCCCTGCCTACAGCTATTCACAGCTATAAAAACTGCCCTTGACTTACTGCAACATCAAATTTCCCTTTGGGATTCATGAAGTATTTTTGAATTGAATTGAAATTAATTTAGCATCTCCCTGGAGACATTTCCACACTTCTTCTCTGCTTCATTTTTATCTTACATGGAGTGACCTCTAAACAATAAAAACGACTACATAGCTGGTTTTCAAAAAGAAATGCAACATAATTTTCAAAATGAAGTAACTTTAACTTTTTATTAACAATATGAAGTAACTTCCTATACTCTAAATGTTTGCACAAAACCCTTTAACAAGCTTATTTATTGGACACAACACACATCTCTAACAAACTAAGCTCTTAGATTTTAAACTTAAAGATATAGTGGAGAATGTTTGTGAATTTTTTAAAAGAACGTTTCAAGGACGCCCTATTCAACTCGTGTGAAAGTATGCACAAGCCCATTTCTCCTCGTGCACGCTCTGTTTAAAAGTAGCTGTTTGCATTGTTCATACAAGCTTATTTTCCAAAATGAGTTTTGCAATTTTCCCACTATGTCAGACTCACCACCGGTAAGGGAAAATGGGGACGAGCATATTGGACGGCCTTACGTAAACATATCACCAAACTGAATGACAATTAGGAGGACCACTTATTTTGATGATCCAGCTGGAAAAAGAAAATCCTCCACTATACCTTTAAGAGAATCCGTCAAAGATGTTTGAAAAATGTCCTTTTTGTTTTTTTCCTAATAGTAATAAAAATGAATCAAATCCATGCTTGCCTTAATCAACATTTATCTTTTTTTAATCACTTAGGTTTTCTCTTTATTCCTTTGATCAACTTATTACTGTTAGCAATAAATCATATGCAAAAATAAATAAATCACTCTGGTTAAAAGCTCTAACAGAATCGGATCCCGTTGATTAGACACCACATGCTGTGTGCTCCACAGCACTTCTGGATCTACTGAAAATTCACATGAGGAATTTCCTTGTAATTCATGCTGAAGCACCAATCTTCAGGACCCACATAAATGCACATAAATAACAAGCAGCTGTCAAAGCGTGGACTGATGTATGACTGAGGAAGGTGCTCTGATTATATCTGTCTTTCAGTGATCATCTCTGCTGCCTGACGAGGCGTTCTTCGGGCCCCATGTTTACTCTGTCGTCCCGTTTCGCACTCACAGAGAATATGGATGTTATGGCATGCATTATAGATCAGAGATACCCGCTCAAGCAGAACCCCAAACGAGAGGAAGAAGTGTCTTGTTATTGTCTTATCAGCCCTCTTTGCTTCTCTTATCAGCTCATTTGCATAATTAACAGAGGCTGACAACGTCCTCACAAGCAGCTGCCTTCATAATTTCCCCAGTTCGGGTTTCTGTCCTGCTTCATAATAACAATAGTGTCAAAGCAAAGTGTTTGACATGTTAAATTCAGAAATTATTTTTTCCTTCTAAACCTGGATATCTTCAGAGAAAGATCAGCACTGTCACTTTAAATAGGGTCAGTGTCAGATCGTATCTATAATGTATAGAAAAGATACAGAAACTTAGCTGTAAAAGTTATACTCATACATATTTATTACATTTTTAAAAAATGACATTTAAAAGACGCACTTTCAGGATGCTGTAGCGGAGGGTTTGGTCTACTTCTTATTTTAGTTCATTATGTTTTGATACATTAGGAATTTTGTAAAATATGAGCCAATAAGGTTTGGGTAACACTTGTTCTGGCACATTAATTACTCACCATTTCATGCATTTTCAAGCTTTTTGCATCATTTCCAGCCGTTCTGACATCACTGTATTACACCTACTGATCAGATTTAGCTTTAAAAATCTCAAAAACTTGTCCTCTAAAAATATAAAACCATTGTCAGTTTGTAAACTTTCTTTAAGATTGCATGACTAATAGTAAAATACACAGTAGACTCTCACCACATACGAACCTCTGCATCCTGGTGTGCTATAGATAAGCACATATTGCTAAATACGACTGTTTCACCATCAAATATCATCACTGCAGAATTTACTAATTGGTGGAGCTCTCCTGATGTTACCATCACATTAAACCCATTCTTTATTATTAAAATGATATATTGTGGGGATTGTTAGACTAGTGGTCAGAGCAGTGCGCTTGCTCTCTGAGAAGGTTGCAAGTACCGGATTAGATCCCTAAAGCCTCCACTCCTGGTTCCTGAGCAAAGCCCACACTGCTACCCGGGTGCTGCATGAGGGCAGCCCACTGCTCCCCAAAGGGATTTGTTAAATGCAGAAGTAAATTTCTCCAATGTGACATAAATAAAGTTCAATTATTTAAGTATATATCAGTGGCATTTGCAATTTATGCAACTCTGGTTAGAACTTACATTTATTTAAAGTTGAAGGCTCAAAGAAATTATTTCATTTTATTCTCTTTTCTGTCTCTTCATCATCTTATGCGTCTTTGTGTTGGATCAGACTTTACAGTAGCTGGCAGTAAAATAATGCTTTAGCAAACAGCTAATCAGAGCTGGCCTTTGTGTCAAGCTCATTTGCAGTAAAACTTTGCAGCATTAGCATTTAGTTCAGTGTTTTTCAGTTTGCTTTCAGAAGTCAAACTACAAGCAATTCTAAAAGTCCCAAACATTTTGTTAAGCCTTCAGTAGCTTCTTCTTCTTCTTTTGGTTGGTAAATTAAACCTTTTCATGAAATACTGAGTAGCAGTGATTATGATTTTACCAAATCCTCTCAACTTAACATTTAATTGTTGCTTAAAAGCAGACAAATTTTGCAATGTTGGGTTATTGCTCCAACGTTTCAGTTCCAGTTGGATGGGTTCTTTTCTGGTTGTGTATATGGACTGTTTATAAAGCTTCAGATGGCACAATTTTATGACATTTTTGTAAATATCTGTGACAGTGTGGCTTTGCTATTAAATAAACTATGCGTGTGTAGTGCTAGGAGCATTATTTTTCCCATGACATTGTTTCAGCACCACTGATATTAAACACAGTAACAGATTATAAGAGTCTAATGTTCTTACAGACAGATTTTGAGTCTAATCTCACATGTTAATCATGGTGAAAAGAAGGACTGTGGCTAAAAAAAGAGCTGATCCTCTTATTCTTGTCTAAAGGCTTTTTTATTCCCTCAAAGAACCGACTTGAATTGTATCAATCATGCTGATCCCAAAGCGTCACGCAAACAGGAAGGCTGTTGGTTCTGGTCTGGGTCATTAGATGCTTTGGTGTTTTTTGAAGTGTGGAACACACATCGGAGGTGGAAACCTCTTTATCTGACTTTATCGGAGCTAGCTCCAACTCAGTCTAGTAAGTCTTCCTGATTATCTTTTAATTAGATATATATTAACCTGGGGTCAGCACTTCTCCAGGCTGTGCATGGTTCCACCACGTGAAGCTGATTAACCAATCAGAGCCTACCTTGGACAGATATGTCATGTTAGAAATTTACTAAGAAAAAGCCATGATAATTTTAAAGAAATTAAAAAATACCAACCTAATAATAATCAGATGTTCTTTTTTATTCTAATTTTAAGTGTTTGAATTTTAAATAGTTTCACCAGTTGAAACAAAGGTTCAATTGAAATTTTGAATAATTTTTAACTATTCTACTATATTTTTAGATGATTATAAGATCTTCTATATCATAATTTAAAAATCCAGGATCCAGCCTCAGAGGAATAAAAGTTAAAATTGTTTTGACGTGAATGTTTAGTTAGGACATTTTGAAGTGACCTTAAGGAAAGGTGGTTAAAGTAGGTGAAAGGTCAAATTTTTGTCCTGACAGAACAATGGTTAGGCAACATTGGTCATTTTGATTTTAGGCCTGTTCTTCCTGATACGTGTCATAACAGTTGAGTTTTTAAGCTTTAATAAAAGTGCTTGTGCAAATTCTCAGTCATCTGGATCAAGGCAACCAAAAATACAGGCTTAAATCTATGACTCAGATTTTGCAAAGGCAGTTTGGGAACAATACCCTCACATTGGTGCAGGACTGTGAGCATTTTTTCAGAAAAGCTTGCAGATTATAGAAACCATCTTTGGTTTAGTCTGAGATACAGACAGCAAAGGCTGCTCCCATACAGCCTAACTTCAGCAACCCAGGAGAACGACAAGTGGGTGTTTGTTTTGCATCTGACTTGGAATGTGCTTTGGAGGACGGACCTCCATGTTGCTTAAAAACAACAAGCCCAGTTTCCTCCAATTTAAGCCTTTTTGTGTGGCTGAAATAAAAGCGTTTATTAACCTAGATTCCTTTGTCTCTCTTACTCATCAGTGGAAATTTAAATTACATCTGCCTCTTTCTTTAACTTCTTTTCCTAAATTAGAGAACCATAACCGAAAGCATTTTTGGTGCTCTCTAAGTAGATTTTAATCTCCTTACTGAGGCTTTACTTTCCTTCACTCTTAAACATGTTCATTCAGGCTAGAAATATTCTCTACTTATTTGCTGTTTTACTGTTTTTATCTGACAGTGGTGCACACACTGCAGAGGGAGAATGTGCTGTGTATTCTGGATGTCCTTATAATTACATGTGGAGATCAGCTGATTTAGCACAGCCCTGTGAAAGAAAAAAAACACTTTGAGGAAGGTGATTTGAAGCGTTATCTGGCTCTACCATTGTTTTTATCCGTAGCTCCTGTAAAAAGCTGTTCTTTCCGTTTCCTTCGCGCCACACACATCGCCTCCACATTCACTCTGTCTCTAACCTTCACATTCCTAATAAGCTTGTCTTTTTTCTCTCTGTTCTTTCTATTCCTGCAGGCTCGCTGACGGTGTCCATCACAGACATGCGTGCTCCAGTGGTGGGGGGCTCCGGGGGGGTCTACGCTCTGTGCTCAGCGCATCTGGCCAATGTTGTCATGGTAACTACCATCATCAGCAGCCGCATCATTGTTGGGTCTAAAATCAGTTTTCAGAACAGAAACGCCCACCGACCGACATTCTGTCCTCTCTGCTGACTGTTTTCCTTTAGAAGATGGATCATTTTCTAACAATCAGATCACATGGATGTCTAATACTTTTGGTTTTGCCCAGGGCTTGATGTGAGACGGTTGTTAGATAATAGAGGCCATCATCTTGTTGTTGACAGTGTTTTCTGCAGTCTCCTGTACTGGTACTTAAAAAAAAAGTTAATGATTATAACCAAGAAGCAGAAAGCAGATTCCCTTGCAGCTAATTGAGAGCTTTTCTCCTCTCAACATTTATGACTGTGTGCTTTCTGTCACCCCGGTCATATCTCAGATGCCTTCCGCATTCTTCTCCCCTGTCAGGCCTACGTTAGGTCTGGCGAATTCGCTGCAGACGCCTCAGCGACGCTGGTCATCAATGTGTGCCGACGGGCCAGAATCAAATCTTAGCATTTAACTCTCTGCTTGGTCCGTTACGCACAATAGTGATTGGTTTATTTAGGGACATCCTAGAGGCACCTCCTACTTCCGCTCTGATGATTTTTTTATCTTCATCTTTTCTTCTTCTATAAAAGAAAGTGTGTATTTTTTTTCCCAACTTCTGACAGTAAATTTCAACCCATTTGTCATAAAGTATCATCATCCGGTTCAGTCAAACCCCATTTTCAGCTTCACTGAGACTTCAACTGCTGCTTTGTGTCAAGTCTCAAGAAGACAAGTTTCTCACGTCAGATTTGATTAATTCAATAAATTCTACTTTTGGCATATAAACATCAAACAGTGCCCTTCACACTTTCCAGCACCTCTGGTGAAGGTTTCTCAAAAGAACAAAAAAAAAAAACTTTTTGAAGCCAGAAAAACAGAAACCCAATAATTCTTTTAGAATAGAATAGAATAGAATAGAATAGAATAGAATAGAATAGAATAGAATAGAATAGAATAGAATAGAATAGAATAGAATGGAATAGAAAACCCCTTTATTGTGGGGAGATTCTGGTGTTTACAGCAGCAAAAAGATTATAGAAAAAAGCTCCTTTATTCAGGATCCAAATCAGCTTTATTGGTTTAGATTGTGTGAACAAACAAGTACTGTGACTCTAACACTCTAATCATAGTCAATCAATATGAATACATCAACTTAAGAGGAATAATGATAAAACTGAGAGGAACGTAGAATATGTGTATGTCTATGTAGAGCCAGACCACTCAGACTGTAAGGTTGTTCATTGTGTGAATCAAAGAGACAGCCTGGAGGTACAAACTGTTGTTTTTTTTTTATAAACAGCTTAGACCTGAAGGTAAAGATTAAACTGTTTTATTTCCATAGAATGTCATCACTAATATTATCTTTCTTCTGTTCTATACCAGTCAGAGCAAACCAGCAAAAAACTGATGCAAATTAAATTACACACCGTTGCATAATGCCCAAAGACTGCTAGATCAACCCGGGTGACTTCAAAGGTTATAAAATGGCAGCTGCAAAAGTCCAGTGAGCTCATATCTGTAAACTGAGCAATATTTATAACTGGAACAGAAACGTACTTAACAGGACTGCAGTTTTGGGGTTGTTTTATCAATAGCATTAATGTTTCCTAACAAAAAAAGGGTCTAAAAGATTTGTTAACAGCAGCTGCAACTGATCTGAGGTGAAAGCCAAAATAAGGAAGAACACCTCTTCCCAGATTTGAAGGAAGGGGAAGGTTCTTTGAGACTCTCTGTCTGCTTATCTGAAGATTTATCTGATTTTTGAAGAACATTTCAGATAAAAGTCTGTTGGATATGTATCCTACAGGGATTTGTTAGATACTGGGACATTACCTGCACTGGCCCTTCTGTCCTGTTCCTCACATAAAGTTTAATTCATATATTTTTACTATTTTCCACCACAGGATGATAGAGGGTTAACACTGGTGCAGGATCATATTCCCTTAGCTCTGCACTTCAAGATGAGTCAGATTGCTGCAATTATTCATCTTGTGACATTAAGGCTTTAAAAAGGCTAGTTCCTCTCACTCCAGGGGACCACAGCAGTTATTTACTTCCCCATTTTCCTTTTCCTTTCTATGATCACAGTCCCAGCTAATAGGGAAACACTGGACTGGAACCAGTTAGATGAGATGGGAATAATCAGCCCCCCGTTTCAGTGCTTCTTTCTTTCTCAATTGGACATGAGAGAGATGAAGCTGTTTCTATTCTCATGTGTGATGTTGGTTTGGGTTTGTAGTTCTGCACTGATCCCTTTCTTTGCTTTTTGTTGTAGAACTGGGCCGGGATGCGCTGTCCATACAAGCTGCTCCGCATGATCCTGGCACTGGTTTGCAGTATGTTCTCTGATTTACTCTCTAAACTCTGTCCTCCTTTTTCAGTTTTATTAGCTCTTTTTTTATTGCCTGCCTGCATAAAAACATAACAAGGCTTTAAAATCAACTTGCATGTTTTAAGAAGAGCTATTACCAAAAGCATCCCAGTTTGTAGCTCCTAGTGAGAGGTGGAAATGACCCGACATGCCCCTTTGTTTATCAGGCTTACATCTTGTCCCTTTTGTCCACATGAGGGCCGATACTGTCCGACTGGCATTAGAGAGCAATATGTTCCCTCCATCTGGCCGGAGCCAACCGCCCCCAAACCCTGCTGGAATGTTAGATTTCTCTTCACTGTTTCTCAAACAGTCGATGGATGGTCCAAAATAAAGTCTGACACTTTATCCTGCATGCTTCAGTGCAAAACTGAATCATCATCTTATTTGCTGTGGTGTGTTGGCATCATTGGAGAGTTTTTGTTCATCCAAGGGGACATCTGGTAAAACAAAATTGGAGCTCAGTCTTATGGAAAAAAAAAACAGAAATTAAAATCCTCCAGCAGCCATCTAAAAATGAGATAATTAAACTTTAAAGTGTTAAATTCACTGTACCAAAAAAAAAAATCTGAAATCGTGGTTTTTCATACTAGTTGTTTTTTAATACTTTTCAATGCAGTCAAAGAGAGAAATAGCTTTATAAATCCATCATGTATGTCCAGAGCCACACCCAATTAGCCCCCCCTTGTTAGCATTTCTGCTGAAGATGCCTTCTTCTTTTTGGGTATTGAGCCAATGTAACAAGTAACTTTCTCCACTGTGAGATCAATAAAGTAAATCAATCGACCAAACAATAATATAAGTGCTTTCAGAATTATTAGCATCCCTCATAAAATTAATTTAGACTCTTTTTTTTTATCACAGTTTTACAGAACTTTTGACTTCAATTCTTTAACTTCAAAATGTTCCACTAAGATATAAACCAGATATCTAAAAGCCAAGGAAAAACAAGAAATGGTAAATGCACCGATGTAAATTAAACTTCAGTTGATTTTCAAGACTCAAGAAATGGTTAAAGATAAGCTGGACTCAGCCAGAGTTTAACTTAAAACGTTTAGACATGGTTTAAACTGTGTGAAACAAGGCGGAATGATGCTCACTGTTGAGGAACATCCACAAAAAGATCTGTCTTTTCAATAAAAAACGCTGCATGTGGGTTTGGCTTAAAACCAACCAGGAATGTGTGGAAGAGCCACTCGTGCTGACTGATCAGTGATGATGGGGGCCTGTTTCTTTACCAAAGGCCCTGAAAGTCTTGTGAGAGACCATGCCATCATAAACATTGACATATGTGCCAGGAAGCTGCAGAACAGGTTGTCCGTTGGTCCGTCAACCAAATAAGTATAGCCGTAGTTTTTTTTTTCTGAATGTAAAAATCATAACTGGACTCAAATAAAAGGTTAGGTTTTCCTCCATCCATCCATTTTCTCCCGCTTAGTCCTTCCCTACCGGCAGTCAATGGGCGAGATGCTGGGCACATCCTGGACAGGTTGCTAGTCAGTTGGAGGGCAACACAGAGGCATGGAACCATGCACACGAACACACCTAGGGAGAATTTAGAGAAGCCAATTAACCCAACAGTCATGTTTTTGGACTGTGGGAGGAAGCTGGAGTACCCGGAGAGAACCCATGCATGTTCAGGGACAATATGCAAACTCCATGCAGGAAGAATCGAACCCAGAACCTTCTTGCTGCAAGGCAACTGTGCTATCCACTGTGCCACAATGCAGCCCAAGGTTAGGTGTTCTATTCCTTTTTTGAGTAGTATAACAGTACTATATTGGTGCTTGGAGTACCATTAAGGGAGGAAGGTTCTGTTGTTCTGTAGGTTAATACTTTCACATTCATATTATCCATTAAAAAAAACACACAGGAACAATTGGGTTTTCACTCTCCTCTATCTATAAGATAAGCTGCCTTTGTTTTGCCATAGAATATGAGTGTTTCTCTGAATCATGAACCATTCATTAAAAATCTCTTTCCGTCTATCCTTATCCCTCAGCAATTAACAACTATTAATCAGTCTTTGTCCTCTGCTTTGCTTTGCTTTGCCCTGATCTGCAGTGAGTTCAGAGGTAGGCCGTGCAGTCTGGCTCCGGTTCTCTCCACCGCTGCCATCCTCGGGCCCCCAGCCCAGCTTCATGGCCCACCTGTCGGGGGCCGTGGTCGGCATCAGCATGGGGCTGCTCATCCTGCGCAGTTACGAGGAAAGTCTGCAGAAGCAGTGCTCATGGTGGGTCATCGTCTTCTCCTTCATCACTTTCCTCCTCTTCGCCATCTTCTGGAACATCTTCGCCTATGAGCTCCTCGGGGTACAGATCCCGCCTCCCCCCTGATGAAGGCCCCCCCCCCTGCTGCTTTTCATTTTAATCTCGATTTTCTCCAAAGTTATACCCAAATGAAATCATTCAAAAAACCAACAAGAATTCTTTTTTTACAGATACTTTGCAAATCAAAGAAATCTTTCTCTTTTATTAAAGAGGGATTACAGTAGCAACAAGTACAGGTAAAGATTCCTCAGATACATTTTGAGGAGCATTCTGTCTTTTTTATGAAAAAAAAATACATACAGAACTTCATCCACATCAACTCATCATTTGTTTTTCTTTTGCTTCATTCATACAAAGACCTCAAATAAGAAGATGCTGAGATCATCATATGTGCCTCTGGTGGGGAAAAAAATGTTCTGTACGATCGGCAGCTGCGGTGCTCCTTAAAGTTAAAGGAGTTACTGAACCGGAAATCAGAATCTGCAGGAAAGAATTTCTGGACGAGCTTTTTCTTTTTTCTTTTTCGGAAGACAACATTAAAACTAAACCCAAAAGCTGCAGTGATGTATTATAGTTAGTGTTGTCCTGCTGTAGCTCAATGGGGTCCCGTGGCTCTTTTTCTCTAAGCTGCTTGCACATCAAACTGAAAAACGCAACAAATACTCAGAGAGAGGACCTGAAAATCTCTAGAGCAGTTCCATGCTTTTATTTTGATCTGTATTAAACTTAAAGATTGGAGGTGCACTGAGAAATTGACTGCAGACTGGAATCAATCCGCTGTCAGTCAAATCCTTGAAAATCTGTTGTTTATTTTCAATTTCTTCATTCTCTACTACCTCTATCAACAAAACCCAACCAATATTTTATGATACATGTCCTAAAAAATAACAATTGTGATAGGTCAGATATAAAACCAGCAGGTATGACCTGCAGGAAAACTGGAAATAGGTATCACCAGTAGCAGGTTGATGGGTGCATCTCCACTAAAGAAACTCTTAGTTGACTTTATCAGTTCATCTAGACAACATATCTCTGCATTTTTTCTTTGTCATGACACCTACACTGTGGATACAGAGAACAGTTCACACACATGCAGACACACATCCTTAGCGCAAAGAGACAAAGTTAGAGAAGACTGAGACCAGAGAGAAGAGGCAGTCCATCACTTCAGCAACTGAACTCCTCTCATTGATGCGCAGACTTCAAGTTTGTACCTGCTCAGTCCGCCATGTAAAATATGCCATGTCACGCTCTGTTGGTTTTGGAACAAGAACACGCACACACGCTGTTCTCCGATCTATGTTTGAGAGTAACTGCTGCCTGATTCTGTCGGTTAACGCGGGTGAACCGACAACACACATGAAAACAATACGCGTGGTTGCCTCAGCCATGTTCTCTCACTCAAAAAAAAAAAAAGAACTGCGATGGGCGAAGACTTTTTACCATCTGACCTCTGACCTGCGGGGTTACGGCATCAGGCCAAGTTAATACCTCAGTTTCTCATTGTTTTTAGGGACTATACATTTGTAAAAGGAATGTAAATGTAAAAAGAAAAAAAAGCAAAGGTGTTATTCTGTTGTCCCTGTTTTTTTTTTTTTATATAGTGGATGTGTTTCCTGTATGCTCTCAACCAAGACTATATTTATTTGTATTTTCCCCCTTTGAAGGGGAAAGGTGGAGACATTTCAAATGGTGCAAAATAACTAGGAAGATTGTGCTGATAAATCCTGTATGACTTTGATCCTCAAAAAAAAAAAAAAAGGGCGGGGTTGGTTTATTAGGCAACAACCAATAAGATTTTATAAATTTTCAGTTAGTGCTTTATGTGATAAGCCATAGGGAAGAATAACAGTATGGAGGGTCAAAAGTGCCACAGTTTCATATGTAAATTAATAAATTTGTAATTCTTTATGTAAATGGCAATTAGAAATAAACTCACTAAATAAAGGAATCTATTCTTTGTTAATTATATGGGCTAATAAGTATCAAATGATATAATAGAATAAGTAAAAATAATAAAAGAAAAAAGTCAATTGTTTATACATATTGCTCTTTATTGTATGTTTTTGCCCAAATAAGCACTTGCAAATATATTAATAATTCAATGAGTGGGTCTAAACTTCCATAGATTTTCTGATGTTTGGGTGTAAACCTGCCAGAGTGTTTAAATTATTTCATGGCACTCTGAAAATAAATATTCAAATAACTGCACGTTAATTTTAATGGTTAATGGCATCAAATCTATAATTATAAAAGTCCACACTTGATATCTGTTTTTGCTTTTATTTTTTTTACCTGTTTTTACATCTATTGGTGAGTTTATACATTTTTTGACACACTTTAATTGACTTTATGCTTTTATTAGAATATATACGATTGTTTTATGATATAAAGTTAATAATTGTTTAAAGATAAATATTAATGATTATAATTTAATGGATTGTAGAACCTCAGTTCCTTTCATGAGGAGGTCCAATGTGCCAAATATTAATAATTAAATTGTTTTATCACGGCTAATATGTTGCATCAATTTATACATGCATACAGATAAATGAATTTGATCATACTAATTTTTTACATATTTAGATTTTTTTGACACTTTTTGACACTTTTAGAAATTATTTGTTGTTTAGTTAAAGAATACAAAATAAACAAATTAAGAGTCAATCAGTTGGTGGGAATGAACACAATTTTAAGTATTGCAAGGCGTAATAAAAAACTGAAATACAACTATATGATTTCAATATATGAAATGTTTAATTGATTGCAACATTCAACCATTTAATAGCCCTTTAATGCTTTAAATTATAAGTGAATAGATTTATTTAATTATATATTTTGTTTCTGATTCTCCCTAAGTTCAGAAAAATATAAATAATATTTGAATCATGTCACATATTAATTGGAGTGTGGGACTTTTTTCCCTTTATATAACCAATGATGAAGGGTTTTTGATTTGGTTCTGTTGAAAAGGCTTTATAGAAATGAAGAGTGTGTGTTTGACCATAAATGATGTGAAATTAATTTCTTTTGTTCATGTCTGTGAAGCTCTGGACTGTTTAAGATATTTCCATGTAGCTAAATTTTATGTTTTTTTATTTTTTTTTTTTTTTTACTTCCTGTTTATAAAGTTGTAGTCAATTCAGCGTTTTTTCTTGTTTTTTTAACATCCCCCCCCACCCACCCTTCAGATAGCAGATGCCTCACTACAGCTATGCTTATAACAAATCGAAGAACAGGTTTTCCGTCTCTCCCGGGATATTCAAGCAATTACATTTACTCAATACTACATTTTATTTTTTAGTCTTTCAGTCAATAATTCGGTCCTAAGGCTGCCGAAGGGGATTTTGAGGGGATGGTCTTGACAGGCAGCTGTGCTCAGCATTTGCTTCTGCATGAAACTGTCAGCAGAGACTGAAGGGTTCTCATTAAAAGAGGGAATGAGTATGAAATAGCTACAATAAAGCATTTTCAGATCAATTTGAACTAGAAGAGTTCTGCCAATATTTGACAGTGATGTATCTTTGGTGGAAAAATCTGTGTATGTCAGGAAATATTCCACTAATCCTTAGCATAGTTAAGATATTTTGGTGAAAAATGCTTACTTACCCTGTTAACCTGTGATGAAGATAAAAGAAGAAGCTTCAGAGAGGGCAATGTACCTCTGTTATTTAGGATTCATAGGAAATCAAAAGAATTGGGGCAAAAAAGGCCTAGTAAAGGGATCTGATTTGTGGAGCACATTGCTGGATGAATTTTCAGTTGTTCCACTTAAAACGGATTGAGTTTCAGCAACAGCCGGAAAGATAAGGAACAAAAATGTAGAAGCTTTCATGCATTTCTGTGAGCCAAATTTTGAGAACATCCAAAAACAAACAAAAGCTGATTGACGAATGACATGAAGCTGTATGGATTTGGGACAGTACTGTCTGAGAAAGCAAGCAGATATATATTTGAAGTAGTATAATCCATGGCCATTGGGAAAAAACTGAGCCTGAAGAAGGTTCATTTAAAGATATTTATCAACGATATCAAAGATTTTTTTTTAAGCAGGGTTGTGTGGAAAGCTCCCTTGTAGTCAGTATTTTATTTGCAGTCGTCAGCAGGCAAAGTGAACTTTGAGCTTTTAAGATCTGACCCTAACATCTTAACTGACCTTAGACACAATAAGAGAAAAAACACTGATTTGCACTGTGCTGAAAAAGTGCTTCCAGACGTCAAAAATTGACTTGCTTTAACAAGTAGACTCCCTAATGAAAATCTTCAAATTTAAATGACTATCACCATTGTCTATTGCAGCAAAGCTTGCATGCTACAGATCCAAACTGCTCCATTAAGAACCAATGTTATGATGCTAGATGATGTTTGGAGTGATTTTAACCCAGAGAAAAGTGGAAGGGGTGGCAATTGCAGACTTTAGTTAATAATTATTCAGCAGATCTGTACTTCTTTTCCTTTCAAGCTGGTTTTTAATGCAACTTTGTGAAACATTTGTGCTGTTTTCATTCAAAATGCATATCAACTTGATAACATGACTTTTATTTTCTGAGTGTTCCAGACATACTGTGTCTCACTTTTGGTATAAGCAGACTTTCTGTTGCTTTCTGCAAAAATGAGATGCCAAACCACTGTCCTAATATGTCTAATGCCTTGTTATATAAAAGCCCAGGACTGAGCAAAGGCTGCTGTATGATACAATTTCTGAAATCCTGTACAGAATCTGTGTGAGAACCAAGCCGTAGTGCTAAAATCTGTAGCTGCTCTGTGCCAACAAGCCCCGCCAGGTTGCCTTTTCTTAGCGTTTAGTTCTTAGATTGAGGTAACTCTCAGTGCAGGGCTGTAAAAGGAAAACAGGCTGTTGTAGCTCTTAAAATCAAACACATTCATAAACAACAGGCATTTATAATCCGGTGAACATTTTCCTTAACTTTGTTTTTAACAGGGGCCAACAAAAGGTGTTTAAAATCCTTTTGAGTTTTCATTGGTATAAAAACATCAAGATATGTACTACAATTTCTCATTTAAATGCATTTTGTATCAGAAATTAAGCATTAGTGTAAAACAAGCAGCTCTTCTTTTAAGATGATTTTCTGCTCAGTTACATCCTATCTAATTATTTTTCTTTTCATTTTGTGGCTCGGCTGCAGATTATTCACACGTTCACAAAAAAATGAGCAACTCCTGGCCATGCATATAACCTTGCAGGTGATTTGTTAAAATGAGATTAGACAAATGTCATCCCTGTGCTGCTGTGGTAGTTTTTCATGAGCTGCTTTCTCGTATCGATAAAATGGTGCCAAGCTTACGAGGCTGTCTCTCGGATCAGAGAAGAGGTTGTGCCAAAACAGCGTTTACAAAATAGGAAGAAAAGAAGCAGAAGAAGAAGCTATTTTCTCTGGGTCAAGACAAAACTAAAGAAAACAAAATGTGGATAATTTATATCCAGGTCGTCATGAATTACTTCACAAACTATTGTACTTTTTAAATGTTCTGAATGGAACCATTTTATATTGTATATATATATGAATATATTTTGTTTTATTTTGTACTGTTCATTGTACTTTGCTTTAATTTAGAAACAATATAAATAAAGAATACTATGGCCACATTGTGCTGCTGCTTTTGGATTTCCTGACAGCTCTCACCAAGTGAAACATAAGCCTCCAGTAACACCAACTTGGAATTCATTTCATTCAATTTGTGCTTTTAACAAATTATTTCATCTTTTTTTTTCTCTGTTTGATCTGAAAAAGATCTTCAAAAACTTTTTAAAACAAAGACATAGGGTATGCATTTGAATTTATTGATTAAATGAGGTAATAAAGGCTGTAATATGTTAATCAGTTTTGTTAGATGTCTCTTGAAAAACAGCTGAGCTCAACCAAAGACTTGTGCAGCCTTAAACAAGCTTCAGGATTGATGTATTAAAAAATTTATCACCAAAACAATTTCAAACTATTTAAATATAGCTTTAGATGTCTAGATTTAGATGTTAGTCAGCCCAATCCATTGGGTGTTGAAATTAGGCGAGAGCATTTAGGGTAGGTAGGATCCTTCCATCTGCAGAAATCTTTTATTGATATGAAGAGTGATATCTGATATATATATATATATATATATATATATATACTGTATATCAAACCCTGAAAAAAAACAATATTATGTAATGTAGGGTACAATATTATCTTAAATCAGTTTTTTCCTTTACAAAGACAAGAATTTAAGGAATTTAAGATTTTTTTTTTTTGACAAATTTTTGATTAAAATGAGGCTGTAAGGTTTGAAAAGACCCGCACTCTACACTTAAGAAAAAAAAATACACATGCACAACCCTGTACCTGCTACATAGATTTGAGATTTTTCCACTACTGTATGTCAGACTCACCACTGATAAGTGAAAATGGTGGCGAGCACGAAGGATGGCCTTATCCATCCAGAAAAAGAACATCCTCCACTATACCTTTTAGTCATTAAATTAAACTCAAAGCATTCAGACATGAATTCATATTTCTAACCTTAATTTGTAAAACCTTAATTGCTTAATTTTACTGTTTCAGTCTGAAACATTAGTAAAACTAGGTTTCCAGGTGTTAGATGTGTAATAAAAGAAGAAGTTTAAAAAGAAATGCTGTATTAGATTACATGGTTCTTTTCTGGGAAAATAGGAAGTTTGAGCTTTTCAATTTCACTTTAAAAGAAAAATATCTTCCACATTATCCATCTGTTGCTTTTTTGATGATTCGAATAGGTTATTCTTTCTTTGAATTTTGTAGAATTGGTACCTTTGACAGAAACAATCTTACATCATGCCATCACCATGATGTCTGGCAGAGGATAGAGATTTTAGCTTTGAAATCTTCACCTTGATTCACACAGACATGTTATTATGCCCTAAAAGCGGAACCGCTTTCTGCTCTGATCATGATTTGGTTTTTCCAGGTCTTTCCCTTCATCTGAAGAGACAATTTGAGTCAGCTGGCCGAAGCTTAATAGATAGTTGACTGTTTTAGCAGAACAATGATCCCAAACAAACCAATTCAAATTAATGCTCTAATTTGGCAAATGGAGGAGATTAAAGATAATAGCTTGCTGAGAACTACAATAAATATCTGATTTCTCAATAAGTCAGTAAAGCTCTAAAAAGCTACTAATGAGAGGATTTATAAGTTCTGAGGAGAACCGTTACCAAACGGTCAAATTAAGGATTTTACAACTGAATATAAGCAACAATTAAACATATGGATCAAAACTTCTTTCAGGCATTGAATTTCTTCTGTAGAAAAACAACTTTATTCATTTAGTAAAAAAAAAAAAAAAAGAAGCAGGCACTTAAAACCTCAAGCAGTGGATGTTTTTTGGATTATTAAGAAGCCTTCAGTTTCTTTGCTGGTCTCTGCTCCGAGTCGGGGTCTGAGGTCTGCTTCTGTGTGCGGCTGCCCTTCACGTTGAGATCCTTCAGAAGAGGAAGCTGCTGCTTTGTGGCTGTGGTCATCGCCCACAAACATAACTCCAGCTTGTGGGGCGTCCAGTCCTGCTGTGGATCCACTGAAGACAAAATTCACAGCAACAGCTCATCATTTGGTCCAACAAGCTGAAAAACGCCTGTTGATCCAGGAGAGACTGTCATCATCCTACCTTTGTTTAGTTTTGCAGACTGTGCAGTCATTTTCTCCAGGTACAGAGCATAGTGTTTAGCTGTGTACTGGATGGGCGTGAGACCGGGGATGCTCTCCATAGCTTCATCAGACATGAACGCAGTCAGTTCTGGAGCTCCAGCTGCCAGCACCGCTGGAATAAAACGGACAGTCAGCCACAAACCAAGCTGTATGCAGGGATGAAGAGAATACAAAATGTTTCAGGACAGGGCCCACTAAGCTGTCTGATGCCTTTTAAACAGGATGTGAATTTATTGAGAAATCAATCACCAACTCCTCTAAGAGACCCCTTTGTATCATTATTTAATATTGAGCTTTACAGGGTGATTAACTGCTGCTTTATTCATGCACAGATTAAAAAAAATAACCTGAAGCAGTGGCAGGGCCAACTCCTTTCAGGGTGCTGAGCTCTGCGATGGCAGCCTGCACATCAGGAAGGAGGTTGAATGCCTTTCTGGAACATTTTTGAATAGTTTCCTCACTGTTGGAAG